TCCAATCAACAGACAACAGAAAATCAATATAAAAATGAATGGATTTAATGTATTCTCGATAAATCTAAAACATTTAAAACATACTTTGTCAATTTAAGTCATGGGAGTGAAAAAGAATCAGCGTTAGAATTTTTACACCGTTTGAAAGCATAATGAATACCTTTTAGAAGGAGTAGCCTCAAAACAAAGACCTCTTAAATATAGATTCAACCTTATTGAAGAACATGTGTCTTTGGATTTGAGCGAGAGCAATTGAGATTGGACACGCCATGGCTGTGCTAGGAAATGAGGTGGAGCAAAGTTATAAATTGTATCTTAGGACCCATCAGAGACTATTTAAAGAGACTGTCTTAAGTCGGTGAAGCAGATTGGGAATTTGTGGTCGGTAACTCTGAACATGGTTTTGTTATGGGTTGCAAAGAAATTGGTGAGCCTGTAGATGAAGTTTGGTTTGAGTCTGCTTTTATAACGTGCAATTCTGTTGGGTGCAATGAGACCTTGAATAAGGGTTCCCTGTGTCGGTTTAGAAAATTACAATTATAAGTTAGTATATGTAGATCGAAGTAGCATTGTTTGATTAGCCATAATTTGTTAATAAAATGACAATATGAGATGGAGCCTACAAAATCAAAGTTGTAGACGGAGCTAGAACTAATCATACAAAGCGAGTATAATGCAGTGTTATCTATTGATGAGTCTTTTAAATGCAGTGTTCATCAATGAGGAGTAACTCAAGCCTTATGAGTAAGCTACCTTTCGTAGGGTTCCTTGCTTCCCAGAGGTGGATGAGTCTAAAAGCCAGTTCTTCCTTGCTTAGTCCGGATTCGACTTCATTGAAGAGTAGCTGCCAGTGGACTGGTGCGAGGGCCTTTGAAGCAGAGGCTGCCATAGCTGTGATAGTGTATATATGTTGTGTGCGCCCAATTTTCGTATTGTTTCTCTGCTATGATCGAAGACTATATAAAGGGGAAGGAGTTGCGGTGATGTTTCCTAATTTATTAGAATGGGCTGATGTTGCAGATTCCACATTGTGGGTATTTACAGCAGGAGAACGTGGCTTTGTGGGTAGGAAAACGAGCCGTTCATGGAGATGTTGAATTTCAAATGGGAGGAAGGAGAATCGTTACTGGCTTTTTTATTTCTGTAACTTTTGGTCACAGATGCGTAGACAACAAAGAAGCGTAGCAGACTGATTTATGTTTTGTGTTTGGGCTGAGTTGTTGAACTATAGTGGGCTTCATTATTTGGCTGCCCTCTATTCTTCTTTCGTTGGTGTTTTTTGTTTGGGAGTGGTTGTTGAACTATAATGGGCTTGATTATTGGGCTGCAGGGATGTGAGTATGTTTTTATTGGCTGACTGTTTAATGTTTTAAGTGACGTGTAATGAATTGATGTTTTGATTGGCTGATTATTTCCCTGAATATTTTGGCATATGTGGCATAGCTGAGAAGCCAGAAAAGTAATCTATATATATAAAAATAGCTTTTCTCTCTTCTGGTGCTGCCATCTCAGCAGCCACCTCAGCAGCCACCTGTACAATTATTTTTTTTAAAAACTTTTGGTTTGTCCGGTTTCTCTAATTACGGCAAATGATGAGACACTTTAAATAAATCAAATATCACACTACCATAAACTGAAATTAAACAAATCATATGAACGACAACAATCATGGAATCACCATCAAAAGGGAATTGCATAAACAGATTTTTCGACGAAAGTGATATTTTCCAGAAAAAAAAACTCAACTCAGCTCAGCTTAACCATAAACGCTGGACTTTCTACCAATCCCAAAAAGGATCCATGAAATCCACGCCAAATTGGAGTCACCTACGACACACCCAAAAAACCAATTCCAAAGTTGAGAAACCGATCGGGCTCCCCAAGATGATGACAAATAGAGGTATATCTAAGAAATCATGGGGAGGGGTTAGACCGGCACCAATTCTGGAAAAAAACACCGCAAGAGTGGAGGATACCGAAATTAAACGTCCCTGAATCACCCAAGGAAGAAAGAGAAAGAGGATGGAAAAAATGACTCAATTAGAGACCAAAGGAATGGATATGAACAAAAGGTTGGTCCGACCAAAATTTCAATCACCCTCTTTCAATGGAAGCACCCTCTATCATTAAACCAAAATTCCAACAATAGAAGGGTTTTGCCAACATTTGAGAGAGCTATCGATTAATACCTACAATTATGAAGGGCTAAAAACGGACACGACTTTGTATAATCAAAATGGGATTTCATAAACATCGAACGAACAAAGAAATATAGCAGAAAAATGAGCCAATATAAAATAATACAAAAAATTACAGACTAAAAAAAAAACTTTCACACTAACCATCCAAACCCAATTTCAATATAGACACATTGTACTTCCACTGACTCAAGGTCTTATACAAAATATACTAACGGACAAAGTGTTTTCACAATTACAAATTAAAAAAACAAAGAAACAAATACTTCAGAAACAAAAATAAATTAACAAGAATAAACATAACACTTCCATAACATAAACCAAAAAATTATAAAAAAAAACAACCCCGAATAACACCTTCTATAAGAGACATAAGTCCCCGAGATATAAAACTATAAAAAAGGAAAAAACACGTGTATAATATAATAGCGAAGAATCATAATATAAAAACAATGGTAAACGCCGGCGTGTAGCGCGGATCACACACTAGTCCCTTTTATATAAAGGAGGTTTTCTAACTAGTCCCACAACGACGTCCTTATCCATTATTCCTATTATTCAATTAATAAAAAAAACAAATCAAAAATCTTAGATTCCCTCTCCACGTGTTTATTGGCGTGTGGACTGATTTTCTCAAATCTTAAATTCAAATCTCAATTATTAATATTTTTCTAATCGAATCTCAGACAACAACTGGAAAAATATATAGAAATAATTGAAATACCTTTTAAAAGGTTCTTCTAGCTAATTAATCTACCAAAAGAGAAATTTCTTAATTAACAGTATTTATCTCCAAATTACCATTTCTCATTACATAGTTCCAAAAATTTGAATCTTTCTCCATTTTCCCAAAACCATTAGCCCCAAACCCAGAGTGCAAAAGCATAAATTGAGGTTTTTTCTCTCTGATACTTGAGCGATAGAGAGATAGAGAGAAACATCGAGATCCTTTTTATTTGTAGAATCGCGATTGTGGGAGTTCGAGAGAAGGAATCGCGATTCTGAGAAATTTCCGTTTCAGATCTGATTTATTTTTTCCCCTGGTAATCCGGAGAGAGAAGGGAAAAAATGGGCGGTCTAGGCAGTGGCGGCGACAGAGGCGTCAGTAACGTGAACACGGGTGTTTCGGCATCTTCGAGAAAGGTGGTTCAGAGTTTGAAAGAGATCGTGAACTGCTCTGACTTAGAGATCTATGTGATGCTTGTTGAGTGCGATATGGATCCTGACGAAACAGTTAATCGTCTGCTTTCTCAAGGTTTTTTTCATCTTTTTTACTTCAAGCTTCCATAACTTTTTTCTATTTGTTTTTTCTTGGTTTTAGCTTTGAATTTGTTTGTGGAAGTAGAACAGAACCAAAAGAAATGAAAAAAAAAAAACAAACTTTAAAACAATTCTTAACTTAAGCTTTTGAAGAATTTGTCTATCATATTGAGATTCGTGTAAGAGAATGTCAGAACTTTATTTGTTTTCCTTATGTTAGTTGAAATAGTAATACTTTTACGATTTGGTTGAATTATCATTGTTACCTGTTTCTCGAAAGAACATAAAAATCAGTTTTTGTCCTTTTTTTTGCCTTCTCCTATGTTTGTTCTATGGTACTGATTATGTGATTTTTATATTCTTGGCTTGTTCATTCAGTTTTGTACAATGCTGCTTTGTTTTAAAAAACTTTCAGATACTTTTCACGAGGTGAAGAGCAAACGAGACAAGAAGAAAAAGGTTAGTTGTACAAATTTGTTTAATCTAACACATTATAGTATCAGAAGATGAGTTCCTTTTTTGTCTTATTCTCACTTACTTTGTCTGTTTGGTCAGACCAAAAATCCAGCAGAATCCTGGACACGTAGCACCCCAAATTGTAGAGCTAGAAGCAGCGGTAATGACAGCTACAACACCGCTCGAGGTGGCGGAAACAGATATAACTCGAATGGTAACAAATTGCTAGAGAGAGTGTGTTTATATTTTTCTTCTGATGGTTGTGGTTTGAAAATCTAATAAAAACTGTTTAAAAACTTTTTCAGAGTCGGGAAGTGTTCAAGGAGTACCTGCAAACAGAAGAGAAAACAGAACACACAATCATTGGGCTGTCTCTTCTTCTTCTTCATCTGGTGTCCTCGGGCGCCAACCTCTATCGAACAGGTTTTATTTCTTCACGTGATCGTTTCTTATCTAACTTAGTCAAAAAATGTCGCTGTTTTGTGGTTTTCTTAGTGTATCTCCATTGCTTTTGCAGTGATCCTACAAACGTTGAAGTTAAGAAAGCACCAACAGGTTCGAGTGATGAAATTACCTCGTCTTCGCTGCCATCTCCTGCATATCAATCCGCTTGGGCCAATGCCAACCTTGGACAGAGAACCATGGCTAATATTGTGAAAATGGGTAGGCCTCTCTACCAGAAGAACGTCACTGCGTCTCGTTCATTAGAGATTCAAGAGAGTGGAAGTAAAGCTCCTTTAAAGGATGAATGGCCTTCAATTGAGAAGCAAGATCCATTATCATCTCTTGTGAAGCCATCTGCTGAATCTAGTTTATCCACCAACCAATTCAGCGAGTCTCAACATCTGAACAAGACTCATTTGGATGACGAAAATCCTATTGCTTATCCTCCTAATGCGGAGCAGGTTCTTCCGCCTGCTTCAGTATCCAGCAGAAACTTGGTTGATGGTGATTCTAGAGAGTCCTCGGTATATGACGACGAAAGCAACAACGCGGAGCGACATGCTTTTGAGGAAAATGGAGGTTAGATTATTCTTTTTAATTCTCTGTGTGAGTCTTGCTTTTTTTTTTTTAGCTCTTTTCTTCCTCTTTGTTCATGTTTTCTGAGTTTTGTTTGCTCTATTTTCAGCGGAAGATGTTTCTGCATCTGTTGCTACCGGTTTTCAGCAACTTACTATAGACAATGATGAAGAGCATGAAACATTACCGAAAGATGACAAACCTGCAGTGATAATCTCCAATCACCTGCAAGTCAATACCTCAGAATGCTCGCACCTAATGTTTGGTAGTTTTAGCTCCCGGATAGGATCTGGCCAAGCTAGTGGCTTGAATGAAACCTTGGAGGAAACACAAGATGAGTCATCATTCAGACACCCCGACACTGATTACTATGGAGAGGAAGAGGGACAACAACTCAGGAATGTTACTACTGAAAATGAACAAACATCCTATCAAATTGATTCAACGGCCCGGAATTACCATGTTTCCTCTGATTCTGAGACAGAAGCGGCGCAACAAGAACCTCATCAAGAAGATCATCAGTACAAGTTTTCATCTCCTGCAGATTATGGATTTGAAAACAGGAAACAATTGAATCCTCTATCTGAAACAAATCCTCAGATGCAGAATTTGGATGCCTTTCCCAATGTAATGGTAAAAAAAAAAATGCTATTTAGCTTTTATAGAAATCCATCAAAAGTTCGTTCCAAAGATCTAACAATGTCTCTTTTTTTCCATAATGTTCAGCAGCAAGGATATACAAGTTCATTACCTAACAATCTGCTACCATCAGGCATTCAAGATACAAGAGAACTTGATATTCACTACTCGCCTTTCCAAACAAAATACAACACTGCCACTCTCTCTTCACCCAGCGGTCCAGCAATATCCATGGCCGAGGTAGTAAACTGCATTCTCTTTAGCATAAACATACTCCTATCTTTCCTCTTAATATCATTGCGTACACAATTTTCTTTTGCAGGCACTAAGAGCCGCGAGTATGTCTAGTCAAAACGCAATGCCCGGTGCAGGACAACAAGCAGCAGCACTTGCTCAACACCTTGCCTTAAACCCATACGTTCATCAGCCTAGGATGCCTGTAGGTCATTATGGTAACTTGATAAGCTACCCATTCATGCCACAAAGTTACAACCCTTACATGCCTTTGGCTTTTCAACAAGCGTTTCCCACTAGTAACCATCAGACTCTAGCTGCAATGCATCTGCAGTACAAGAATCAGGCAACCGCTCCTCCTGTTCTGCCTCCTTCTGCCTATGGGTTTGGCAGTGGCGCTCCATCGAGTAACAACTTTCCTTTGGCTCCTACTACCTCTGCAAACTCTTACGAAGATGTCTTGAGCTAACATTTTATGGACAGGAATCATTTGGCGTTATCACTTCAGCAGCAGGTAAAACAATAAATTATAGTTAAGCTAAAAGCCGACTCTTATTTAAGATTTTTAAGAACCAGTTCTTAAACCCTATTTGTCAAATTTGCATTGGACAGAAAATTTTAATGAAATTTTTCTTCTTTCTTCTTTATTTCTTCCCCAATAAATTTTTCATCTCCTTTCAACGACTCCTCGTTTCTTCTCTCTCGCTATCTCTGTCGTCATGCTCGTCTCTAACAGAAACCCTACCGTTGAAAGCACCCTTTCAAATTGCCGCTGGTGACTCAAAACCACTGAATCTTAATATCCAGAACCTCCCAATTTTCCTTCTCAGAAAGATCTTCACTTTTTGGCTGTTGGACCGATTTTTTTACTTAAAGCTAACTGGGCTTAGTAAAATCAAATGGTGTGATGAGAAATATGCTCAAGTCGGAGCTCTGGTGGTGGTCAGGTCGAGTTGAATAGAAAAAAAAAACAAAACTCAAGCCTAATCTTGTGCTTCCATGAGACTTGGTCTCTTTGTTTACACAATTCTCAGAGAATCGGTTTCATGGAGAGATCGTCGCATAAGATTATGTTGCCTACCTCCTGGATCTGCGTTCAAGAAATCTCTTTGATTTCAGAATCAACATTATCCAGAAATTTCTATATAAACACACAGTGTTATGTCGTCTTCTTCACCGCAAAACAAAGCTTCATCATAACTAAGAAAATCCAGCCATCTCTCTCTGTTTTTTAAGTAAGTATTTTGAGAGTATTGTAGAGTTAAGTTTGTATAGAATCCTTGTTTTCTAGTGCTTGTAAAAAGGGGTTAAAGTGGTTGTATCCCACAGCTCTGGAATCGGATAATTTTGTCGTACTGTGGGTGATTCAAAGAGTTATGGAAAGAGATTCATTATTTCGCCTCCACTCGTTTCTCTTACCATAATATCGTTTACATCGTTCTCATTTTTTTAATCAAATTTTTCGTAGTGCTAATTTTCAGCTCCTACACATAACTCTTTGAATCCGTTGGTGTTCTATAAACATCTAACAGATTGATTTACGAGAATATAAACGTTTTCTCAAATTGTTTACCCACCTGCGATCAAAATCTCATTGGAGGCTCAAACTTACAACGCACGGTCGTGGTGCCTTTCGAATTCGATGGCGATTTAAGTTGCAGTTCTGAGTTTTCATAAACGTATGATTTAGTTTACCAGTTGTGATTAATTAAACTTTGAACACAATACGAGAGCTTGCGAGTCTCAAAATTGTGTAGTGAGTGATTCCGTTGAACTCTCATTAGAGTGAATGATACTTTGTGGTTTGATCTCAGATGTGAAATTGTGATTTAGAAGTCTGAAACGAGACCTGTAATTTCTCTACAATTTTTTTTCTATTCTACTCCAAACAGGAAAAAGTGATCGATTATAAAAACTTGATACAAAGTTTTTATTTCTGGTTTTACAAAATTTGAATTTTGATACAGACTTGAATTGAGATTCTATTGTATCGTAACTTTTTTATTTACTTGCTATTGGAAGTCTCATTTTAAATGCTGCAATGAAACCTGCAATTTTTTACGAGAGAATTACTTTTATAATGTAAATTCAATTTAGATTTGTTCCTTTAATGTTTTTTTAAAAAAATTGTCCCCTTAATGTTTAAATTAATATTAACCCTGTTTTACCCTTTGATTATCAATTTATTAAATTTTACTAAACATTATTACATTATTAGAGTTAGATTCATGTACAAGGAATCGTCCATGTGTTTATTGTATTATGCCATTATGTCGCCGAGACCAAATCCATCGGTTACCCCAATAAGTTATTTTCTTTAACTGAATATATCTTTATGATGCAATTACGTATGAGGAATTACAAATTATCAATTTGAAATGTTATTCACTTTGTCAAAATTTTAAATTCAATAAATTATGATAAAAATATATACGAAATTTTGATTGGACTGGCCCCATAGAGAACCATATTTTAGATTATGCAGAGAAGTACTCGAGTTCGTATAAAGACAAATTAAGTTTTGATATGTTAATATTATGAAGAAGTAATTATTAGGCAACCTTAGTTCATTTATTTCAATTCAACAGCAATTAACCTAGCTCGTTTTTCTTCATCAGCCACAAAAATCTACTCTTTATCGATCTGTCTTTGATTTCCATAAACTATAAGTGATATAGATATGCAAATTTAGAGAAAATAAACTTGATCAATGGGGAAAGAAGAAGAAGAGAACGATACAATGACAGCAAAAAAAAGAAAAAAAACGTCAAAAACAGATAATAAAAATGGAAAAAACAATTTTCAAAAATATTCAGATCTGAGAGTTCACGAATTTTCCTATATTTTCTCAGATTTTGGTGGAAGTTGTATTCTACGTTAAAGTAGAATGAAGACCATATGTAGAAAAACTGTTCTATAATAACGTAAAACCTGGTCTAATAAGTAGAAGTTGTATTCTACCAATATGTAGAATATAGTCTATCCAGTAGATTTTATAATCTACCGTAATGTAGAATATAAAAAATATATAGAATATGTTTTCTACCACTTCGTAGAATATAAAAACAGCTATAGAAAACAAATTCTACAGGCTAGTAGAATATATAAAGAACTATAGAAATGGGATTCTACGTGGACGTAGAACACGCATTCTAAAATGCGTAGAACAAATTTTTAAAATATTTGTTTTCCTTAAATGATACCGAAAATATTTTTATTTCCTTTTTAGGTATTTTTGAAATTTTTAGAAATTAGTTTTGAATTTATTTTTTTATTAGAATTGCCATAACTGATTTAAAAGGGCAACTATGAAAAAAATAGAAAACATTAAGGAGACAAATATCAATTGAATTGGCATTATAAAAGCAATTCTCCCATTTTTTATTTCAATTAAACCTGCAATTTTCATTTCATTTGAAACCTCACATTTTTTGTTTGGATTTCGCAGACCAACACTTGGTGTAGTTTGGTTTGAGCATGTTCTCTTTTAATTATCGAGAGCGTATTTTGTTACTGAGATGTGTGATTAAAATTTTGTCTAATCATTTGATCTTTTGATAATAATTGAAAATTTTAGATTGTATTATTACTTTGTCTTGGGTTACTAAATTTAATACACATCCTCCACTAAAATCTTTTCTAATCGTTTTTGGTGGTTGCTCTGTTTTTTAGAATAGAAAATAAAAACAACAACAACGTTTTCGTGCCTGAGGCCGAGATCTTCACCTTTAACATTGGAGTGACGGAAGCTAACACCTCCACTGTTGCAATCAGGACTGAACAGATCCAGTTTGGGACTCCCACCAGTGATTATTGCCATCCCTGCTTTGATCCCTGCTACTGTTCAAACTGTGGTCACTGGACAGTATCAATCGGTTCAAATGCCAACTGTGAATTCAGTAGGTGTCCTTCTCAGAAAGTTCTATTGGACCAATTTTAAAATGTGGCAGAAGAAGATGTTTTTCTATCTAGCCGCACTTAAACTGGAAAGTACACCCATGAAGAGAGACCTCTCTTCCAGCGGATAATGATGATGCTTACGCGCTTGCGAGCATGTTAGCTTGAGAACACAGAGATTTCTGTGGAAAGGATACAACCAAAGTCGCCTTGCTGATTCACTGTTCGATGTGTATAGCAATGTTGAAACATCTAAAGAATTGTGGGATTCTCTAGACAAGAAGTATCACACAGAAGATGATGGATCTTAGAAATACGCTGTGACAAAATTTCAAGACTACAAAATGGTGGACTCGCAGCCAATAATGGTTCAATTCAGAGAGCTACAAACTCTCCTCCTGAGGGTATGAGGCTGTGTGAGATCTATCAGGCCGCATGCATCATTGAGAAGCTCCCACCTAACTGGACAGCCTTCAAAAAACTACCTGAAGCTGAAGAAGAAGTGGATGAGTCTCGAAGACTTAACAATGGAGCTCTGTATGGAGTCAACAAACCAGAAAAACATTAGAGTAGGTGTTGAAATTCGTGAACCCAATGCGAATGTGGTGGAACTCCAAAACAAGGGGCGCCATAACAAAGGATGCCAAGACAAAAGGAAAGGCAAAGTCCCACAACAGAACTCACAGAAGTTCAAGAAGAAAAAATCTGGTTGTGAGAGCTCGCAGAAGTTCATTGGAACATGTCACAACTGTGGCAAAACAGGCCGTAACTCCTTTGAGTGCTGCAACAAAAAAGCTCCAAAGAAAAATGAAGGCAAGAACGAAGCCAATCTCGCTGAACCACACATGTGCGTGATGGTCACTGAAGCTAACGTCGCTGAAAGCCACCCAAAGATTTGGTGGTTCGATACTGGTGCAACCAAGCATATTTGCTTGGACAGGTCAATGTTCTCTGCCTACACGAAGAACAAGAGTGACAAAAAATCCTTCATGGGAAACTTTACCACCTCAAAGATCGAAGGTTATGTAAAGGTTGTTTTGAAGCTTATCTCTGGACGTGAGCTCACCGTTACGAATGTGGTCTACATGTCAGACATGAGCAAGAATCTGATCTCTGGATCTCTCCTGAGTAAGCATGGATTCACTGTTAAGTTAGATGCGGATAAGCTGATGCTATCCAAACATGATATGTATTTGGGAAAGGGATTTGTTAGTGATGGTCTTTTTAAGATGTCTCTTGAAGCTGTTATTTGCAGCAATGTTGTCATTGAGGCTTCCACCTCAAAGATGAATGAGAATAAGAAATCAGTTGTTTATTTATCTGAGTCTTTTAGTTTATGGCATGAACATTTAAGACATGTTAACTTCAAAACTATAAGTAGATTGATGAATATGAATATGATTCCTAAACAAAAAAATAAGTAAAGAAAAATGTGAGATTTGCGTTCAAGTTAAACTTATTAAAACACCATCACCAAACATGGAAAGAATAAACGTGGAAAGAACAAATGTGAGATTTGCGTTAAAAAAATCTCTTTGATTTCAAAATCAATTTTATCCAGAAATCTCTATATAAATACACAATGTTATGTCGTCTTCTTCACCTAGAAACACAAAAACTTCATA